TCAGAAGAAAGGACTTGTGTCAGAAACCGAAGAGTCTGAGAAAGTAGTGCAGAGTAGCAAACTTCAGTGTGTGTGTGTGTGTGTGTGTGTGTGTGTGTGTGTGTGTGTGTGTGTGTGTGTGTGTGTGTATACACGTGTGTATGTGTGTGTGTGTATACGTGTGTAAAATCCAATCATTTACAGGAGTGTTTTCCTTAAATGAGTGGAATCTGCCGGACAGACAGACAAAGCGGGAACATTTGAAAAACACGTGGTTTTAAAAGAAAATGGCATCAGAATTGGATGCTGGCAGTCAGCTTATACACACCACTGATGTTCAGAAATTTGACACGTGCCAAAAATCCAGTTTGATCTCTAAAAAACAGAAACAGCTTAATTTAATACTGTATACATTGTGGTATATTCTTTGTTTATATTTATATAAAAGTTTGTTTTGTGTCAAACCAAAGAAAAAACACAGTAATGTCAATATACACACAAATAATGGAAAGTAAGGACCAAATAAATCATTCTTCATTTTACACGGAGTTATGAGCAAAAGCATAACGCCCCATACATAGTGATCTGTGACCTAGGTACAGTGTTAGATCTACGTCTTCCATAGCTTCACATACTTAGAAAACATACTGTATACTGGTATATTCATATACTTGGGCTTGTGTATAGGATTGCATTCTAGCACAGTGATTTAAATTTTTTTAGGGCGGACGGTTGTGTCCTCCCTCTCTAACAGACAGGAAATTAACCTCACACTTAAAAACTGGGAATGCTCCTGCCTCCTTTAATCCTCGGCTTAGCTTGACTTCACCCAACCGACAAGCAACCTTCCTCTCTAAAAAGGCAAGTAATGATAACCAGAAGAATCCTGAATAGTGAATATAACAGTCTAGCCACACACATATCCACACACACTCACACATATTCACCATAGCTTAACAGGCTGGACACAGGTGGGAAAGGGGGGGAGGGGGGGTTCAAGCATTATCCAATCCCTGGGGAGAGTCTGCCCTGGCTGACTAAAAAGGCCTGATTGGTGGAGCGCAGAGCTACTGAGTCATTCAAGTCACGTGATTGGTCGACTGGTCCTGGCAGTGAGTCAATCGAAAGGGTTAAGTTGGCCATGTGCTAACCCTGAGAGTCTGGCACAGGAGGAAGAGGAGGTGCAGGTTAGGCTAAGTAGCTGTTACAGTATGTCACAAGCCTGCAGTATTTTCACTCGCTGGTCACACGACAGTAGGATTGGGCCGGAAAGATAACAGAACTTCAAAAATGTCCTTTCTTGCCTCCACTCCAGTTTTTTTCTTCCTATGATATGGGGTTATCTTTTGGATGCCCACAGGGCAGAAAGGGACATATTTAAATAGAAAACATCCACTCAGATGACATGTTGAAATCACAATGTTTG